CCCACTTGTTGGTGATTCTTCACATAAAATAAAAAATTTATATCTTTATGTTTGAAGCCTGAAATGTGGCAAAAGGTTGAAAAGTTCAAGGGGGCCGAAAACTTTCGCAAGGCACTGTATATATACAGTATAAGTTACAGTTTATGAATTGACAAAATAAGAACTAATCCAACAAAAGGAATTATCATATATCAACATCATTCTTTTGTTTCCTCTTTTTATGATTTCGAAATTGATTATTCTTGAATAGTTAACTTTATATTGGCAAATGCTCCACTTAAAGAATTCCCAATATGGGAATTATATATATATATAGATTTCAAATGATAATTCCTACACCACCATTACTAATTGCCACAACAGATTGGTTTTCATCTTCATAATTTCATTTAGTTAAATTGTGCTTAAAATGTTTAGTATTTTATAAGGATGTTGCATGGTTTCAGGTGTTGCTACTTCACACCTTCATTCCCTGTTACTTTCTCAGTAAAGTCTTCATTGTTGGGTTTTGGATGAATTTCTTATATTAAATGTAGCAAAAATACTAAATAATTAGAGGCAAATGAAATGGTAAGGGGAGATTATGCATAAGACAGTTTCCTGACACTAGAGGTCCAAGAATCAAGACTAATGACTTACATGCAGTAAACTATAGCATTTATGCTGGTACTAGCTGCAAACTTAGTAACAAATATTGTGCAATGTCGTAGTACTCAATTCAGTCGATAGCCCAGTGGGAGAGCTTGACAGTCCAGGTTCAAGCACTTCAATTGTTTAACCAACTTGCAAGTTCAGTCATAAAAATCAGAGTAGCGGGTACAGATCCAATGAGTGCACAAATTCTTTTCTCTACAGAAGAGCAATTGTGCCTTCTATTAGTGAATGCATCTTAAAAGAAGAAAAAAACTAATATTTCTACAATGAAAAGTTTTTTATCATGAGCAATATAGCAAATGTGTTTTGATAGACTTAGTTACCTTAAACCTACTGTATCTACTTAACTAAATCAGTACAATAGATGAGACAATATCCTATTACATCTTGGTTCTAAAACTAGTAATACTGGTAATAACATTGCTAGTGCCATTGAATAATTACCCTTATTAATTATATTTTCTGTACATTTTAGAAATGTTTTTTTTTATTTTAAAGTTGAAATCTCCATTTCCTTTCTGTTTTACACCCTACCACTGAGGTGCTGCTAAATAATCACTGTCGTCATATTCAGAATTCCTACGTATTCCTACATACTTCATCATACCCAGAATTCCTATGTATAAATCAATTACACTTTTATACTAATGAAATATGTTTTGTGGTAGCAGTAGTCAAATAAATTTAAAAAATGTTACCTCTTCTGGGGTGAGAGGTCTTTGATGAAGGCTTCTCTTCTTTTCCTCAGCCTCAGAAAGCTCAGGAAGTTCTCCTGCTTTTTTGTAGTTCAGTAACTTGGCTAGTTCATCCATCCTATGACTTGGATAGGGCCTTTTCTCCTTGAAGTGATGAGGAAAGGCATAATTCATTTTCTCCTCATAAACCTGATGTCCATAGTCCATGTCTGCTTGCCTCTTGTCCCACCAATCTTCTTCAGTTCCTGGGTACTGACGCCTCTCTACCAGATGTCGTTTTTCTTCTTCATTTTCAAGGCTGTCCTCTCTCAGGCCATTTCTTTTCTCATAACTTCTCTTCCACCATGCTGGGTGATAGTATCCACGGTACTCCCAAGGAGACCTTTTCTCAAACCTGTCTTCTTCCTCGCTCACAAGCTGTTGCTCTTCTTGGTTTCGTTTCTGCTCCTCAAGAAATCTTAAAGTTTGTTCTTTTTTGTCTTCTTCCTCATCTTCACTTTGGGGTCTTTTATACTCACTGTGATGCCTTTTCTCTGTCTCTTCCATGTAATGTCTCTTTTCAGATGGTTGACGCCACTCTTTCAGCTCCTTATCCTCTTCAAGATTGTGCCTTTTAAATTCTTCTTCTTTGCTGTCCTCATAATGGTGCCTCTTTTCTTCTCTACCTTGTGGTTCCTCTTCCTCTTCACTTTCTTCTGAAAGGTAACGTTTTTCCTCATCTTCAAAATCTTCAGCATTTTTCTTTGCTTCTGCACTATGCCATTTTTCCTCAGTGTCTAAAAAAGGCTTTTCTTTGAGATGTCTTTTCTCCTCCTTGTCTCGTTCCTCTGCATAGGGGTTGTTGGCTTGTCTGTGATGTGTTTCTTCTTCACTTTCTTCAGACGACTGTCTTTTCCCATGGTGCTTTTTATCTTCTCTGCTGTCTTTGAAGTATCCTCTCTTGTTTCCATGGTGTATTTTTTCATTTTCCTCACTCTCTTCTATACTGTGTCTTTTTTCTTCCAAGTATTTCTTATTTCTTTCTGGTTCCTCCAAAAAGTGTCTTTTCTCAGTGCTGTGGTGTCTCTTCTCTTCCTCTTCCTCTTCCTCTACTCCCACTTCTTCTGAATGGTATCTCTTATATTTAGAGTGATGTTTATCTTCCTCCTGCTCCCCACTGTGCTTTCTGTCAAAGCTATGGTATCTTTTGCTCTCTTGGCTATCTTTGTAATGGTGTCTCTTTTCTTCATGGTGGTGTTTATCTACCTCTTCTTCACTATCATCCCACATGGGTCTCTTATCTTCAATATGATATCTTTTAACCTCCTCTGAGTGGTGTCTCTTTGCCCCATGATGGCGTTTCTCCTCCTGCTCCTCACTTTCTTCTAAGGACTGCCTCTTCTCCTCACTGTTGTGCTTCTTCTCTTCATTGTCTCCCCAGTGATGCCTTTTCTCTGTCACATGTTGTGTACTTTCTGCATAGTCATGTCTTCGGTCTTCCCAGTGTTCATCACCCCTTAAATCCCTCTTCTCCTCTTCGTAATGCTTGTGTTCGTCCCCTGTATAATGCCTTTTCTCCTCTGAGTGAAACTCCTCATCCTCTAACTCTTCACTTGTTCTTTCACTGGAGGAATCACTGTTCTTTTTGTGCTTTCTGTGGTAATGCTTGTGGCCTCCATATCGGCGCTTTTCCCTCTCTTCACTGTCTTCTGTCTCCTCTGATCTTTTCAGGTGGTGGGCCTCATGGGCACTTTCATCCTCATATTCCTCATCACTCCTTTGACTCGGCATGTAGTGAGAGCTTTTACTGTCTTCCTCACTCAATCCTTGAGAATCCTCCTCACTTCTGTGCTTTTTGTCTGCTAGCCAACTGTGGTGGCTGCGTTTGGAAAATTCATCATCATTTTCTTCTCCACTCTCTGAAATGTGCCTTTTGTCCTCGAAATTGTGATGCTTGTTTTCCTCCTGTCTCCTGACTATTTCCTCACTTCTTTTGTCTCCTGTTACATAGTTCTTTTCCTTGTGGTTTTCCTCATGGAGGCTCCTTTTTTCCTCAGGTTCTACTTCTTTGATTTCTTCTTGGTGTGTTTGCAAGTGCTCTTCAGGCTCTGGACTATGGAACCCATCAAAATGAACAACCTCTTCATTGCTTTTCTTTTCTGCTATTTCATGTTTTGAACCTAAATGGGCACATAAAGGAAGCCTTTTGTAAGTGTCCAAGCAACAGAGAATGGAGGAAAATTACATACAGTCGTCATATGTTTAGCACAATTGAAAATCTGTTGTGAATCAAAAATGGAACTTACACAAAGTTAGCTCTCTTTGCTTAGGATACAGTTTACTACTACAGAATTTTTGGCCTTATTTATCAATTTAATATTTAATATGTGTTATTTTTATGTTTGACTAATTTTCATTAAAAGAGCTTCTTTGAAGAAAATATAAAATGAGTTGGTTGTATGAAATGTGCTGAAATTCTTAACAGGGGCTTAGAATTACTGGCATGATTTGGACTAGTTTTACTTATAGTTAACGTTATGATGTCTTGTTTAGGATTTATTTTTAAAAGGTATTGAGAAAAAATGTTTACTTTTTTTTAGATTTTTTTTTAAAAAATCTAAAAAGTAGATGAGCCACAGGTTTTAGTCGGTTCTAAATTTAACTTTGATATTTAAAGCAAATGAAATAAGAGCATCCTTTAACATTCTGAAAGAGAAGCCGATGAAGTGTTGCAAACACTAAAGCTGTGAAGCATTTAATAACATTTAAAAGAGCTCAGCAGGAGCAGGAGGCCATTAGGCACAGCAGATGAGGAGTGGAACTATATTCAGAGAGTTTGTGTAACTGCAGTAGATGAGGAGTGTGTGGGTGAGGAACATATGGGAAACCAAGAAATAGAGATGAGTGGTGGCAGAACAAAGAGGTACAGGGGTTTAAGTAGAAGGCGGAGGCAAGAAAGAGAACTGGAATGAACAATACAAAAGAGTGAAGAGTTCACAAGAGCTCATAGAGTGAAAAAAACATTAAGGAAAGTGAAACAAGACTCCAATGTAGAGCTGCATGTGGAGCTGAAAAATCAAATAGATACAGTCTGGAAGATGCTGTATGGTTTGACACAGAGCAGGCAGCAAGGAAAAGAAGATGGAAAGAGGGAATGACAAAGATGGAGCAAGTAGCTGGGTCAAGTGATGTCCTGCCTGATATGATTAAATTGCTGGGGGTGAAACATTGTGGATTGACTGGCTAGAGTCACCTAATTAAGTTGGAAGGAGACAATAATACTAGAAAGCTAAGGTGTGTCAATTCTAATACACTTATATAAGAAGAAGAGGATCATTTACTGTATAACAACAGTAACGAAGAGGTCTGAAAGAATAAAAGCCAGTAGAAGTTCAGCTGAGAGAAGAGTAGTCTGGATTCTGAAAATGAAGTGGCAAACCTGACTCACAACTTCATAAGACAATTCTAGCATATAGTTTGTGAGCATTGTGCTTCATGACTACATTTTACGTGAGATTTGAGAGTGGGATCTTCACCAGTTTAAACAGTCATAAAGTCTTGGAGTTCTTTGCAGCTATTAGAATTAGGGTATTCTTTTATGACAATATCATAACAACGGTCCGAACATTGCTCAGAGTCATAGGAGACAAACACTGGAGATACATAAATTACTTCTCTCTTATGTGAGAGTGAATATTGCAATATAACTTGTAATACACAGCCTCATTTTAACTATTCTGCCAATACAATATCATGAATGTGGAAAAAGAGGCATGAAACAGAAAATACATCTCAGTCTAACAGCATTCCTAAGACAAAATAGAATACCATTAAAAATGTATTTTATGTGAAGCAAAAGCAATTTAGATGAACATTAATGGTTTATGCATCCATCTGATTTGTAAATCAGCACAATTTCTTTAGCTAAAATACGATCTCATATTTTATTGTACTGTATATACTACATTGGAAGTAGATACATGCCTGAGATGGAAATGGCACAGACAATTTTATTATATCTTTCAAGTTCAGTGATCATATTTCTCATTGTTTTCATTCATGCCCTGGAATTCCAAATATTTCTCAGAACATTATGAAAAAAACTGCCCAAGAATAAACAACACCCTTGGTGACCTCTGCTGCTTTTGTAGAAACACCACGTTGAATTATGATATTCATTTAGCACCAAGCAATTGATATAATTCATAATGACAGCACACTATGGTTTTAAGAAAATGTTTTGATTCAATATTACTTGAAGGTCTTAGAGATGCAGTTTTTAGAAATATTAACTATGATTAGCATTCAAACATATCAACAGTTTTAAGATACTAAGGTTTTGTGCCTACATTCTAAAATGTGTGCCTTATTTATAAATACAAAAACACATGAGTCTCAGAAGCCTTGCGAAATTGCTTTAAGCACTTTCCAAATTATTATTATAACTCTGGTTTCCCCCCCTCTGACTCTTGTATGCAACCCTTACTGAAGATATAGGCTGCCTGGACGTGTCAGTGGACTTGGGACCAGCTCATGATCCAAGTGATATCAGTCTAAATAATAGGCTCCCATGAGGGGTAAAGATGTTCATTTTCTAAAAGCACTGGTTGATGTGTGAAAAAGTACAGAAGACCATAGAAACTGATGTTACGAATATATTATTGATTAAATTGATAGTTTCTTAGAAATGCGTCTCACTCAAAAAGAATACCGTAGTGTCAAGAAGGTCCTAACACTGGGTAAATAATGGAATTGCTTGAAATATTGCTTTATTTTGCTGTTTAGATGTTTAGAATACAATGATCTGTAATCTGTTAGTGCTTGTTCACTCAGGATAAGCTGAGCTTGTTAAATAAATAATTTAATTATATGTTTTTGACGATACCAGGAGACTACAGACAACATTTTCCTATTATTATTTTTTCTATGTCATGCCCACATACATAATACCAGATTTGTTAATAATCACTTAATGATTTTAAATAGAGTAGATACAGTATATAAATACATAACATGGGACTATTATGAAGAATAAGATATGTAAGTGAGATTTCTATCAAATTGCTAACACACAACTAGCCCCAGCTAAAACCATTTTATACTTCATCTAGTGCAATTGACATATAGTATACAGTCAATACAATGTGCAAATCAAAGTTAGTAACACATCCAGAGCAGAGCACTACACAAATTACAGTAATCTGTCTGGAAGCTAGTGTGAGTTCTCTGGGAGATTTAATGCAGTGGAAATGCAAGACAAGGTACAAATGCATCTCACATTTGGAGTGCAAGACTTGAGCTGTCTGGGATATATACAATTAGACCATTTTAGACATAGAATTTTGGACATATTAATATTTCTGCATATCACTGCTCCTAAACACTACTTTAGTTATTTGTATAAAGAAATGGTTCTATAAAATAATAATGCAGCAGAAGAATGAATGATAAAGACAATTGGTGTATGATACTTGTTCTATAAATCCATATAAACAGCTCATATAAATATTTAAGGACTAATATTTTAATACAAATTGAATTCAACATTCTTAATTTCTCACACATTGGCAAGTCCAAAAGGTGCTATCGAAAACGTTTGTTCGCATTACAACTTCAATTCAATTAAGTTCATTTGATTGCTGAAGTTTCAAATAACGAGTCAAAGCTGTTCTGAACTTACCCGTTTTAATAATTTCTTTGCATTCTGGATCGACAGGAGCAGCGTTTGGTTTTGAAAGTGCGTTGGAAATTACTTCGGCAATGCAACGAGTGACCTAAAATTAAATACAAATATATTCGTTATTTAATATATTCCTGTTTTAGCAGCAGGAGTACAAGTCCTGTTTTTTTAAGAATTCCTTAGATTATGAAGTTTAAGAGGAATGAAAACATACCAAATCCTCCTTCTTTCTTTCTTTCTCGATAGGCACAGATGAGATATCTGTCAAGCACAAATTAAAAAACATGTTTAAAATTAACCTATACATTTATGATAGCCCTAAAAGTGGTTATACCACTATCACTGACACTGCTTCTGCTACTGCTTCTGTAACTACCGCGGCTACTGTAAGGAAAGAGATTGTGCTATTGTAATACGTTTTGTAAGGTTTAACCTACATTTTGTAAACTATATATTATCCTGTTCTTATACAATCCATCTTCAGCATGCAGTAGCAAAAGTGCCATAAATGTAAAAATGTAAAAAGGTACAAGCTTAATATGGAATCGTGATAAGCAAAACAAACACACATTTATATATATATATAAATTAAATAACACAATTCTTTTGGTGTACAAAAGGTATTTCAACTTTGAATCTCATCTACGCGAGCTGCACCACATCTCCAAAATAACCCTTGAACAGGTCTGCTGTCCACGGTGCTGAAAGCACGATACTCCTTTTCAATACGCATGAAGTCGAAAGGAAGTTTTAATACGAATGGAACTATAAGTCTGCTTTCCTACCTCCGAGGAAAGAAACCGCAAGAAAAACAAGAATCATAAGCTTCATTATGATAAAGTGCTGCAACTCTTATTTTTCGCAGGATATTATTGTTGTTGTTTTCCCCGATGTTATCAGTGCTAAGCGAGTAAATAAGTCAGACGCGACACTAGTCAACTGCGTCGTCTTCCACCGAAGGCTTTACATCGAGGGTCTCCTGCTCACTACAGCAGGCAGGCTCCTTCTGCTTTGATATAAACAGGGGGGAGGCACATGAAACAAGCTACTGCTTGAAAAGGCGTGGGAGGCTTCTCTTTTACTCGTGACCTGCGTCATTAACCCCCCCCCCCTCACCCCCAGGAAAGTGCTCTTCCATATTCAAATCTTCACCAAGAATACGCATAAATAATATTCTATCGTTGAACTTCATGCGTTGTATCGAAATATTAAACCCGTTTCCATTATTTTCTTTTTTTCGGTTGAGTTGTAAATTACAGCTTTTTATATTTTTTAAAAGTAAAATAAATTAATTAGTAATTTATTTGGTGTATAGAATACAAAAAGAGAGATCATACTTATATAATAATGTTAGGTTTTGTAGCAAATAGACTTGAACGAAACGCCAAATGTTACGTTAAAAACGTAAGGAAATGTTGAATTGAGAAAAAACGTAGTTACTTCGAATACTTATCAATCACAGATTTATTAATAGCACTAAGGCTTTTTTAATATTTCCTCAAATGTATTTATTTAGATCGCAGTGAAACACTATCAGCATGCAGAAAAGGAGTGAGGCAGCAGAAGTTCTCTATTTCGGAATTTTGAATTTTGTACAAGGAGAATCTGGAGTTTGATATGCTGGCATATACCGTGAATTTTAGTAGAATGTCATGTTTCTAAATACTTATTATACACAGTACCCCACTGAACTAGAGATAAATATGATCTATTTGTAGGAGTGACCTATTGTGTCCAAAGTAATGGGAATAGTTCAACAAATGGTGAGTCCCCAAATGCCTGAGAACTGTAAAGAACCTGCAGACTGAGTCTTTCCATAATTATGCTGTGCTATGGGAAATTAAAATGATATAAGCAACTTCACAAGAGATACAGTATGGCTGTTGGTGCAAGTGTCTCGGTCAGCTGCATCACTGAATACCTGGCTAATGTATCAATTTAGCAGTCTCCAAGGTTTACAGGCAAATAAATACACCACCAATAGGAAGTGGAATTCCAGAATACCAGAATTCCACTACCTACTGTATGCCTCAAACAGAGCTGTGTCAACTGCTGTGGCTTGAATGGTTTCATAGTTTCACAGACATTTGTGAACACGCAGCAAAACATCTTTTTATACTGGCTGCTCGACTGATCCACTATTAGCAGAAATTTCTAATGTCATCAAACCTGCAAACTGGAAACATACAGTATATAAATATGAGTGTATGAGTTGCTGCACATTTAGTCTTGACAAAGGTCATGAAGATACTTTATAGAAGTCATTTTTGCTAAAATAGTGCATGGACATGGAATTTAAGAACCAATGATAAAACCTAAAAACCATGAATAACATGCATGGAATAAAATGGTGGTGATATAAATTTATCCATAATTAAAACAAGGCCTTGTATTTAAAATGAAACAATGTGAAAATTGAACAATGTGGTGAAGATTATTTTTGCTTTCTTATATCAATATTTATGGAAATCCGATACTATATTTCATAAAAAGAGAAAAAAGATTCCATAATTATGCCTCCTTTCTGTTGTGAAAGGTGTTTGATTGATTTCTGCAGATTAAGATTAAGATTTTCATTCTAATCTAGAACTATCATATATATTAATAAATGCTACATTTATAGCTGCATATGCAAAACATATTTGATTTTTGGAATGAATGTGAATATATTTCTATAAGGTTTCAAATAACAAACTCTGATTTGTACACATTAACGCTATATTCTGTGATTTATTGTTAAGTAGGATTGTTAATTAATTTTTCATTATCCAGCTGTGAGCCTAATTGTTTGGAATTTAAAATGTCATTAACATTGTATGTAGAGTGGTTTAGTGTAGAAATAACATCAATATTTTGCACCCTGTTCCTGCTTTTTGTTGTATGTAATCAGCTTCTGACAATATTCAAATCAGTTTCTTTGAGGTGTTGCATTTCTTTCCCATGTGAAGTCAAAGATGAATAAACCTAGATCACAATTACAATTTTTGAAGATGTAACAGAAGCAGTAAGTTGCAGTGTCTTTATTATTTTAAAACTGCAAATAGGACTATCATTGTGTTCCATCAGGTAGATAATTAAGACAGGATAGCTTTACTGAACATTTATAAATATTTGATTGCCATGAAATACCATTACAATGCATATTACGGTATATATGTATAGGGATTGCAACTAACACCATAAATTATTTTTAATCCCACATTTACAAAGGTATAAAATGTCCTAAATTCAGGCACCGACTGGCACAGGCATCGGTGATCAGTAGTATTTACGGGATTGAGGGTCAATCTGTAAATACAACAGAAATATATTAAAAGAAGATTAATACAAAATAAAATTGGGCTTACTGAAAAAAGAAATACATACAACATGCATTGCAAATACATACACGTATGGTGTGTGGGGAAAAACTATGCATGTAGAATGATGTCTTGAATGATTAATGCTCAATTTAGACTTTTGATTTACTTATTTTAATTATTAACCTGTTCTGTCTCGGTGTTCATAGCAGCATTGGGCCAGACTGAAAGAAGACATTTTTTGGGGTGCCTGCAAAACTCATATTTCCGTTTTCAGTTTTCAATAATTCAACTATGCTGTAACAGATTAGAAAAATCCATTTCATTAAGGATTCTGAACAATCAGTAAGCTCAAGTGGTAAATTAAAAGACTCATAACTTCAAGATTCAATATTTTGTTGGAATTTAGCAGCACATATTATTTCATGGTAGATTTCCACTGCATTGCAATTCACACTAGAAGACAAAGAGTTATAGTAACACTTAGAAGCCCCTCAGCAGTATTTCTGACTGCAGTATTCAAAACACTATAAATAATATATAACAGAAGGGAAAGCAGTAGATTTAATTTGATTTTATATGCTATAAAATTACAGTATTACAGAAAAACTTTTAAACAACATCATTATACACATATATAGATTTTGAAGATGAATAATTGTGAATGTTCTCAAGCTAAATTTGTTTTAATTTTAAATTTTTTAATAATTCTAATTTTAAAAAAAGATTTCAGCAAAATGGTTCTGCCCCACTATATTAGAAATAAAGGTTTTTTTGACCATATGCTATTCATATATTTATCTATGAATTGGCTTCATTACTCTGCTCTCCTCCCCTCTGATAGCTGACGTGTGTTGAGCGTTCTGGTACACTATGGCTGCTGTCGCATCATCCAGGTGGATGCTGCACATTGGTGGTGGTGGAGGGGATCCCCATTACCTGTAAAGCGCTTTGAGTGGAGTGTCCAGAAAAGCGTTATATAAGTGTAAGCAATTATTAGTTATTATTATTATTTAGTGGCATAATTAACCATATACTTCACAGGCATATAAAACAGCTATAATTGTACCTTTTCTCTGATAAACTGATTAAATCTTGTAGATCACTCATTCATATTGATGCGTCATTATGCCAGATAAACATGTGTTAAACATGATATTGATTTATTTTTATTAATACTGTCATGAACTATGTCAAGAATTCACACACAAATATGAACTACACTGTATACTCAGGGCACTTCAAAACTTATCATGTGAAAAAATCTTATCATTCAGGTATCTGAAGATATTAAAAAGTAATAACTGTAGCAGGAAGAGACACCAAATAAGATGTCCATATATACCTGTGAATACAGGAGCTGTTAGGAGGAATAAAGAAATTAACTTTCTACACAGCTAATGTTCCTAAGTAATCAATATAATGATATCCCCTTCACTGTGAGTAAATTGAATGGGCAGACATTAAAAAAAACAATTGCAAATTATACCAAAAATTTCACTTTGTGGTACTGGTGCTTTCAGAAAGTACACTGTGCTAAACAAGACAACACAAAGAGATGTGCTGGATTTGTGGAATTGAAAGCCTCAAGGGTTTTTAGTTTCATGACAAATTGAAGACACAGTCACAGCAGTTGTCTGTCTAGAAAAGGTCAGACTTGACAGGATAAATAAACCTGCTTTTAAATTATCCCACAATCAAATAGATTGCATGAGATTGAAACCAGTACTCCTTTATATATCATAGTCTTGCTATGCTCTTTACTTTAATAATGTAGAGAAATTATAAGGAAATTGATGTTTAATAAATATTCTTAATCCTGTATGTATTGCAATTAAATGCTACAAATTATTATTACATTTATAACTTATTATCTCCACAAACATAATCTTTAGACTGGAGTTTCCAGATCCCAATCCTGGTCGCTCACAGGTGGCTGATGGCTCAGTATCTTCTGATTTTTTTGTTCTACTCTTAAATGTTAGAGGTTTCTTGCTGTTTGTAATTTAAAATCTCCAGCATTTGAGAAGCAAACAACTTGCACAGGTTCCAAATCAAGTAAACTGTTAATACAGTTAATGAATTAAAGAGTTTAACTAATTAAAAAGCACAGCTAGTACACAAATCAGCATGTGTGTGATTCCTCAGAGCTAGGATTGGAAGCCCCAGGTTTAGATATGAAATGTATCACCCATAATGATGGGAAATTCTATTACAACTTTTAAGCTATAAGTGTAGAGCAGTTCTCCTTTTATTCCACTGGAAATTCCAATCACCACAAAACCTGATTTCCATCTTGTTTCAGGCCAAGAGAACAGAGATTCACAAGTTCAAGGTATGAGCTGCAGGGCCAGACGCTTCCTTATATAACTGTGTTGATATACCAGCTGGAGGGTGGATAATGCCCACTAATAATGCCAAATCTCCTGGTTGTCAAGCCACAATCTCCAGGCTTATTATATTAAAACAAACCTGATGATTTTCAAATAGTAAAAAAAAAGTTAAGAAAAAAGTTTAAAATATATTTGTAAACTTCCATCACCTTTTCATAAGTCTCTTTTCAAGGCAACATGGCTCCTATAAGAAAGATGGAAGTATTAACTGTAAGATTTTCTTTGCAAAAGGAAATGATAAAACACTAGGTAGTGATTTAGAACATGGCAGGCATGTTTGCCCATGGTGGCACATTGTTGCCACGCAGCACTGGGGTGTTGGGATCATTATCTCC